CAGACGCTACTATCCTTCACAATGGTGACACAAAAATCGTTTTGCTGTTTTTCTTTTTCCTTTTTTGATTTTACAGAAAAATACCGGCAGCTGTGGTTGCCAGTAATTTACTGTTTTTAACATTTTAAATTCATAAATTCAGTTTACAGAATATTTCTGTTAAAAACAAATTCCACAGTCTGTATTTTTTATATTTTTTATTTTTTCATTAACTGCCTTAAAAGTGTTAAAATTTTTAACACTCAGAGAGTGTTAATTAGTAAACTCTTATTGTGTAAAATATCTGTAAAATGTATGTTAAAATACTGGCAGCAGTGGTTGCTAGTAATCTGATGTTTTCAACATTTTACATTGGTAAATTCAGTTTCCAGAATATTTCCAGAAAATAAGCGTGTTTGAGCCACTTGTAAATCCCGGAAGTGTTCAGAAAAAGCCAAAAATTAGCAAAAAAACTCGACACAAAGGAACATTTACACCTCACTGCCAACTAGCGTTTTGGAATTGTTAAAGCAGACCAACAGAGACAGCGCGCAGAAGTATAAATGCACAGCTACGCACGTTGCATGCGCCGTGGGTTACGCCGGTCACTTGATGCAGAAGTATAAACCAGGCTTAAGTCAGTGAAGAAAAAGAGCAAAGGTTGTGACTTTGGTGGGACTCGAACCCACAACCTTTGAATGGCACAGCTGACAGCCTAGAAGTCCAATGCGCTATCCATTGCGCCACAGAGCCTGAATGCTCTGTTGCCTCTAGCACTGTTGCACAGAAAACACTTTTTGGTACTCTCTGGCCCATGAAAGAACAGCCAATTGCAGACAAGGCACTGCTGGGGTTCAAACCCAGGAACTCCTGTTTACTAGACAGGCACTTTCACCAACTAAGCCACAGCGCCAAATTACCTCAACTGGGGCTAATAGTTTAATTCAAAAAAAGAAAAAGAAAAAAAAAAGAACTGTAGCGCTGTATGTGTGAATGTCTGGACTTGAAATATTAAAGTCCAATTGGTTAGGCATTACCACACTATGCTATATAAAGGCATCGTCCAAAGCCCTCTTGAACGAGCAGCGTTCTTAAGGATTTGAGTTTTGTTAAGAAACCGACTGCTAAACATCCCGCTGCGTAAACACTCATAACTCTTAACAAAAAGCAACTCTGCGACCTGTACATTAGGCACTGCTGGGATTTGAACCCAAAATCTGTTGACTAGACAGGCACTTTGACCAACTAAGCCACAGCGCCAATGCTGAAAAGAAGGCAAGACGTTTTTGCACACAGAGACTAAAAAAAGACAGCAAGTCTAAAAATGGCAAGCAAAGAGGTTGTTTAACTCTATCTGTCGCACTATTCGTTACGTCTCAAAGCTATACAATTTTATAATTCATTCCAGCAAGCTCTATAAAACACACATCACCTGGACTAAGGCGCTGATGGGATTTGAGCCCAGGATCTCCTGTTATATGATGATCTGTTATATGATCGATAGATCTGTCCTTTACAACACAAGCAGCGATCTCAGATCAGTTTATCCAGACATTCTAATCTGATTCACGAACTTCTTTAAAGAACCAAATTAGCGAGAGATCAGTTATCAAGATTAAAAGATTCAGGATCTGCCAAATCATAGATCATTTAAGCGAGGTACAAAAACGGACCCCAGGGAAGTGATTTGTTAATCTGCGCGCGCGCACATTTGTGCAGGTGGTATAGTTATTTCAAGTCTTCATCACATTTCGAGTCGTTCATTGCGGTAAGGCAGAAACCAATCATATGCATTTAGAGCTGGAAAAAGAATTGATCCGTTCACCTCTCGAGTCCTCTATCGGGTCTGAATCACTCGTTCCTCACGGGCCAATCATACGCGTTTAGAGCCGGAAAAAGAATTGATCCGTTCACCTCATGAGTCCTCTATCGGGTCTGAATCACTCGTTCCTCACGGGCCAATCATACTCGTTTAGAGCAGGAAAAAGAATTGATCCCTTCATCTCTCGAGTCCTCTATCAGGTCTAAGTCACTTGTTCATCACGGGCCAATCATACGCATTTAGAGCTGGAAAAAGAATTGATCTGTTCATCTCTCGAGTGCTCTATTGGGTCTGATTCACTCCTTCATCACGGGCCAATCATACGCATTTAGGGCCGGAAAAAGAATTGAACCGCTCATTTCTCGAGTCCTCAGGTTTGAGTCATTCTGTCACGTAAATAATGCACGACTTAAGACTTGATAGGTGAACTAATTATCATGGCTCCTAACGGCTCAGACTGTGTACATTGGTTAAGATTAAATGTGACTGCCAGTGTAACATGAACGAACCACTGACATTAGAAGACATGAAGAGGTGAGCTGAGCAAAGTGATAAAAATGCCTTTAATGACATAAGAGCAGGTAAACGTTAAAGTATTATTTTCTTCATCTTATAATATTCTATTTATCACTTATGTGTTATGCAATCAACCTTTTGGGCTAGTTGTAGATGTGTTTGAAAGCAATTCGTAAAATTTTAATAACATTTTGGCAAATTGAACCAAATGAACGAAATGACTCGAAAAAAGATTTGTTCATCTCGATGAACGAGACTCAAAGATCTGAGTCAGTAAAATGATCCGAACTTCCCATCACTAACCAGGTTTTTAATGGATGCATGTAGTATGTTATAAATAATGCACTTTGCATTGCTTGAGAAAAAATACCAAATTATTATAATCTATTTTACAAATGAAAGTAATTAGAATTTACAGTTTGTACTTGTTTTCTCTGAAATTATGCAAGAAATCAATAAAGAAAAAGGCCTTACTGTTTAAATATATTGCAGTTAATTACAAAATATACATCTACACACACAGCAAGCATATGACAGAAATAAAACAATTATAAATAAAATACAATTTTGAATGAATTTAAACTAAAGTATAAAAGGCAGAGGATTCTTATGTAAACACAGCAAGCATATTACATAAATAAAATGACTATATATATATATAAATAAAATCCTATTTTGAAAATAAATTAAAATGCAAATACAAAAGTAACTTAGTAGAAAACAAGAAAGTACAGTTGTAGTCAGAATTATGAGCCCTTATAAATTACTCTTACCTGTCTAGCTAACCTAGTTAACCCAGTTAAGCCTTCACATGTCACTGTAAGCTGTTTAGACATGTCTTGAATAACATCTAGTAAAATAATATTTCATAAATGTGTTGAAAAAAAAACTTCTCTCTGTTAAACAGAAATTGTGGAAATAATAAACAGAGGGGCTAATAATTGAGGGGGGCTAATAATTCTGACTTCAACAGTATGTATATGAAGAGTTTGGTTGCAAAACGCGATAAACGCCATTTTTTGACATTTGGATTTTATTATTGGAAATCACTGTTTAGATGTACCTTAATCTATGTGTGAATTTCTGCCATTAATAACATTTAAGAATGTACATTTTAGGCCGAGTACAACATGTATTTTGTATGAAACACGGATGTGTCATGACTAGGCCCACACAGAATCTGCGCGTGCAGAATTCCGCAGATTTTCCACAGAATTCCGCAGATTTTTAGCCCTTCATTAATTCTGTTTATTTACTTTGAGTAAATGTGTGTAAATCTAAATTTAGATTTTAGATTTAAGTACAATGCAGTTTGTAAAGTAATATTTTCTGTCTTTTAGTAGATATATTATATGAGAGACTTGCTTTGTTTACCAAATTTGCATTTTAAACATTAAATAAAAGTAAAAAAGTTTTTTTTATTTTTTTTATTTCCCATATTAAGGTTTTAGTTATGATACTGCCAAAACCATTCCACAGAAGATTTTTACCTAAATTTTCCGCAAAAATAGCAAAAAACATCCGCAGATTCCGTCTGGCACTAGTCATGACTGCAACAGTAAGTTGCAACCAATGACTGTAAAAAATATGGACGACGCGACAGCCCCTTTTCCCATTGAACGCCTTGAGGGCAAAACGCCTGCTTGACGGGCACAAACTGTTGCAAAACACTGCTGAAATTGGAGCCTTGACATGCGCAGAAGGACTGTCTGATGGAGCCAGAGGAGGAGCCGCGAAAATGAGCGGAGTCGAGCTTCCAACCAAACACTTTATGTAAAATCAACCACGCCCCCCGAACTTCTCAGCATGCGTTTACTGTCATATCAACACAAATGGATGTAATAACGTTAACAAATATGAGGGTTTTATATATTCAATCGCGGCAGCTCCGGGCCGCAGCGCATAACCTACTCGCGGTGTCGCCGGCTACTTCCGGCTCGCATGCGGCAGCGCCGGCTCGCTCGGCCGCCGCATCTGGCTCGATTGACTCGGGCTGGAATCGGGCAGTGAGTCCAGGCATCCGGAGTAGGTCCAGCAGAGGTAGTCAGTCTGAGCTCTGAGGGGTAAGTCTCCGGCAGGCGAGAATCTAGCTGGAACTGGCTCGAGTGTATTTTGCTATCTGGGTGGCTAGGCGTACGTGTATCAGCAAACTAATAAAGCCCGAAAAAAGCCCTGACCTTAGCGAATAAACAGTTTCCGCCAGATCATGTATGTCAGAAACTGCAGTTTACTGCTGAACTCATTTTGTCATGGTAAAATAACAAAGAAATCGAATAATAACACTTCAGTCTTCTGCCGAAGCTCAGACGGTCTACTTTGAGAAACTGTCAATCACAGCTGTCAATCACGATGACACGCCCAGCATTAAATTACTGCTAAAAACAAACTGTTTACAAAAATGAAGATCTGCACCTATTTCAGCACAATAACCAGTGCCTTAATCGACCACAACCATCTTTCGGGACATTTTATTGCAAGTGTAATTCATTTTTTTATTTGGGCTCAAGTCTCCTTCATTAACACGGAGGAGGCGGGCTTTATGACTTGTACTGCAGCCAGCCCCCAGGGGGCGATCTAACGGCCGAGACCTTCACTCAAACGCAGGCTTGCGGCACACTTGGTTGCAACAAAGCTTAAAAAAAAGACTTTTATTTTGGCGTGTCATGTGACGTCATCAGGTAGCGCCGCTTCAGCGATGTAATTCAACTGGAGAAAGGTTTGTTTTAAAACGTTTACAGATATAAACCGATTTAAAGTTTAAGTTTTAGTTTTTTATATGATGTTAAATTATGTTACTGCTGTTGGAAATATTATTTTAACCCTTTATATAACGTAGTACTATTTTATTCTCAGTAACCGAGGGCTTTTTTAAATAAAGTAACAGAAAAGTGTGTGTTTTAATGAAACGTTTTACCTGATTTCTTTTTTGTTAATTACTCTTATATAAAGAAACTGTTTAAGTAATTAAGTGTTGACGAGAAGTTATTTTGTTTCTGTTCATTGTTTATTTTAAACGGGACGTTTTTATTGTTTTGTTCATTTTAAACAGGATAAAGTGTCCAAACACAGAGAAAAACTCCTCCAGAATCGACTGATCTCCACACTGTTATAAAGATGGCGTTTATTAAACAGGAGAGTGAAGATGTGAAAATTGAAGACACATTCAGAGTCAAACAAGAAGATCTGCAGGAACAAACAGGTTGATTTTTATTATCAGGCCCCTTTTACACTTGTGCGTTTTAGTTTTAAAACGATGTCCACACTTGCATGAAAAAGCACAACACGTAACCACACACACTCTCGGGCAAGCGCTGCAGAATATCTATAAAAATGAGAGCTGTGCTCGTCGGACTGCTCATCAAGCATCTCCCGCTGGTTCTAATCTCCCTATATTTATTAAACGTGATATTTCATTCATCTTGTTGTCTTTATCTAACTACATATTCCCTGACTTTGGTCATTGGAATCTATTAATTGTTCTTAGGTAACGTGTTTTGGCTAAGCGCAAAGATAAGTTAATGATTAATGTAACCACGTAGCCTATTCTGTATATTGACTGATCGCTTGCCTTTATTTCCTATAATGTATAAACTTATTGTCTGTTATACTTTTATAATGGCCATTATCGATTATTAAAACTGATATTCAGCAAATGAGAGGGTAAGTTTCGTATTTTCACTGAAATTGAAAAGAGGCAGTTGTTATAGGCTCCGTTTTGTTATAAATATCCACACAGTGAAGATGACGCTCATAAATGCAGCACAACGCCTCAAAATTTCTGCTGTCTGTTAAGTTGCTAATATCAAAATGAAAATAGGCAGTTCCTTAAATCATGTTTACATTTTATTGTTGAGAAAGTGAAACGACGTAGCCAGGGTGATGTGAAGGAAGTTATAAAGTACATTGTTCCCTTTGAAGATTTACCTGTGTCCTCGGTATAGTCTGTTTTCCATATCAAACTGAGGAGGGGGAGACTGCAGCCTTGATCAAACTTGCGAAGTCTGAACTTACAAGAAGAGGATGCAGGACTGAACTGTGTGTAACGTTAGGCTATTTAATATTGGAGTAGGGGGTAACTGCAGCCTGGAGAAATGGGCGTGGTAAAAGGTAGGGGCGTGGCAAAAGGTTTTTCATTGGTCGAAAGTTTTTTCCGGTAGGGGCGTGGCAAAAGGTTTTTCATTGGTCAAAGGTTTTATTTCCGGTCAAATGCGTTGGCCAATTAGAAAAACATATTACTTAAGCTGCTTGTTCAGCTTAAGGGTGGATCATTCTACTTTATGCTACTGGTGTTGAGAATAAAGAATGAATTAAATGTAATCACAAGTTTCATTAAAATAATTGCTAAATCAGCATTCTTAAGGATACAAATGCTTAAATATCATTAGACAAATGATATGTTTTGGTTCTTTTTACTGGCTATTATAAATGCACTACTTAGAAAAGCATTTTATTCAATACTATTTTAAATTGTGACTTAGTTGTTTCCCAACTGTGTCACTGAAATTATTGCCTAAAATAATTTAAATTAAAAAGATTTTGAAAAATACATTTTATGTCGGGTAAATATATATTGTTCAAATATCACAGATTTATAACAAAGTTAACTCAATAATAAACTTATGTTAAGTGATATTAATCAGTTTAATTAGAACACAGACACAAGTTCATTAAACATTTCAGTTTAATTATCAAAAAACAAATAAAACAATCTCTTAAAAAACATGTCTTCCACTGACTAAAAATCCATACATCCGTCAGTTCACGAAAATCCATTAAGTACAAATCCATCCATTCATCGTGTAGTAGCAGTGCATAGAGCAGAAGCCATTAAACTCTTGTCTGAATGCTCTGTACATCTCTTTTCCTCCCATTGCCACAGTATCCAATGGTGTTTTTGTAGAGCCAACCACAGGATTAACATCTGGAGAGCTTGAACTCCACTCTATATTTGACCAAGTAACAGTGAGGAATGCTCCATCCCCTTCATCATAAACATCTAAACCAGGGTTTTTCAAAGTCTTAAGACAGTGGGCCTCCCTTTTGACACAACTTATCCATTGGCGCCCCCCCTCCTCCCAAACACACATGCGCACACACACACACACAGTATATACACAGTATATATATAAAGACACAGACAGATGTCAGACTGTTAACTCACTTGTATCATCATTTGCATGAAAGTGCAATTATTTACAGAGTAAAAGGTATTTTTAAATATAAAGTTTTTAAAACTAGGATGATGGTTCAATATGAATAGAACAGATCCAATAACTGTCCATCCCAGTCAAAACAGTAGAAGTTTAGCGGGTCTCATGCTGTCATTAGCCAAAATATCTTGACAAACCACACATAAAAGTCGTGGTTCATCAGCTGGTCCGGTCCACGTAAATCCTAAACTCAAATACTGATCATCATATCGTCGTCTTTTGGGTTTAAGCCCTGAACCTGAAGGCTTTGAATACCAGTATTGGCGGGCTTGCCAAACAGAAGCGAATTCACAGCTATGGCCTTCTGGGTAAAAAAGGTTTTCTTATTTTTGACATATTATTTTTTTTTAGCGTTGTTTAATTCAAAAGTTTAAATATACTAAATAATACATATAATTATTAAACTTAATAATTATATTTTTATTATATAACATTTTTTCCCGCGCCTCCCCTGACATGCTCTGGCGCCCCCCAGGGGAGGCCCGCCTCACACTTTGAAAACCCCTGATCTAAACGAACCTTTCAGAACAGGTCTGATGGTAGCTGAATTAAAGACTAAAGACTAAAGACAAAACACACACACACACACACACAAAATAATAAATGACAACTGTAAAAATGAAAACTAAAAAAAAAAAAACTATAAAATAAATTGAAAAAATAAAATAAATTTAAACATACATCACTAAGACCTTCTCTGGGATCCATAGCTGAAGGGAAATGCATGTATACATATTTTGTAAATATAAAATGAAATGTGTATGTATATACACATACACACATATATTTGATAATTACAAACACAAGCTGATTGGCAGGTTTTAAGCATTTAAGAGCCTTTGTGACACTTGTGCTATTTAAGTCCCATCATTTAGGATGACACTAAAGCACAACTATGATGGAATGTAATAACTGGGAAAGTATAATGTGTAAATTAATTAGGTTGTAAGTTTGATTAAATAATTAGTAAATTTGATTGCACTGCAATTTCAGTGTCTTTAAACTAAGAATAAAAAACAAGCCTACAAGTGCAGCAATCCACAATAAATGGTATTGTGCTGCCACCTAGTGGAAAAATTTACTTTAAAAAAGTGATTTCTGCTACATTGGTAGTTGTAAATTGAAAAGCAGTGTTTGAGACATTTTAAATATCGTAATGCTCACATACAGTTATATATATATATATATATATATATATATATATATATATATATATATAGTCAGATCTCAATCCAATATAGCACCTTTGGGATGTGGTGGAACAGGAGATTCTGCAGAAACTTGCGTAATGCTATCATGTAAATATGGACCAAAATCTCTAAGAAATTTTCCAGTACCTTGTTGAATCTATGCCACGAAGGATTATGGCAGTTTTGAAGGCAAATGGGGTCCAACCCGATACTAGTAAGGCATAGGTGTCAAAGTCAATTCTTGGAGGACCACAGCTCTGCACAGTTTTGCTCCAACTGTAATCAAACAAATCTACTCTAAATAATCAAGGCATTCAAAACAGTCTTGATCACCTTGATTATTTGGATCAGATGTGTTAGATTAGGGAGCAAAACTGTGAAGAGCTGCGGTCCTCCAAGAAATGACCTTGACACCTCTGTAGTAAGGTGTACTTGATAAAGTGGCCAGTGTGTGTGTGTGTGTGTGTGTGTGTGTGTGTGTGTGTGTGTGTATGTATGTATGTATGTATGTATATATGTATATATACATATATATATATATATATATATATATATATATATATATATATATATATATATATATATATAATCTGTACCAACTTATATATATAATAATATAATATAATAATATATATATACCAACTTGTTAACTTGCTATATTTGCACTGAACTGAGAGTACAGATGCCCAAGATAAGCTCTATACATTTCTGGGTCTTTTTCGTTCTTAAGGAGACCTAGAGGGAAGACAAAAATTAATTGCAAAGTGCTAACTGACATCACTTTAAATGTATAAAAAGATTTTTTATTTACCCTGAGTCTTCAAGCAAGAACTCACACCACAATCTCCTTATGCAAGTCATATAGCCAGTTTTAAATAAAAAGACAATTTCTACAATGCTAAAATTCTTCTTTTATACTGGCTGACAAAGTGTTGAGCAAAGACTCATCTCAGAATAGTCAAACCCAACCTCAGGAGCAATGTACAAGGCTAAAAGTAAAAGATGTTATTTAGTTCTAAAATTATGCAGTTGTCATTGTACATTGTAAAACTTACCATGAGCAAAGACTTCACAGTTATTGGAGAAACACTACATTGGAATGTCCTAGGTAATGTTATAAAATGTATATAAACATGTAAACAAATATAAAATATAAATGATAAATCTGCAAGAATCATCATCAAAAAGTCATGTACTAAAATCATTTAAAGTAAAGCATGTTTAAAATAAGAAGTTTCAAATGTAACAAAAAAGTAACATCCCTTATGCATAGATGAAAAATATGAAATTACTTGTTGACATACAAATTCATATTTGGATTTTACTTGCATAAAATGTGTCATATATGCAACAAATATTGTGAAATGTTGCAAAAAAAGTCCACTTATGTTTTCAACCATTGGAATTACAAATATGTACATGCATGTTCCTAGCCTATATTTTATACTATGATTTTAGTGCACTTTTTTTCTCTAAGTGAACATATTTGCTATATTTCTAAATGCATGTTCATAAATGACAAGTTTTAGATGTAAAATAAACATGAATGTAGGCTAATTTGCACGTACACATTGGCATGTGTCAGATTTCTATGAGAGATCACTGTTCACGTCATCACATATGACCCAAACAAATTATAGCCTATTAAAATGCATACCGCAAAATAACTAGTACTTACATTCGTGATAAACTGTGCGAGGTTTGTGACTTTGCAGATGAGTGTGTATCATGTGTAAAGCTCTCAAAATATTCACACAAAACGGACACCTAAACATATTACCAAACTGTTTTAATTGTAA